TTGTTGTATATACATGAATGTACCCAGTGGTGGTGGTGGCACGTAGCACGTAGGGGGGAGGGTGTCTAGATTTCAAAATTATTAAGGGGGAACATGCCCCCGAACCCCCTTGTAAGGTCGCGGCTTTGGTACAAGCTTGGTGCACAGATCTCTGTGGATTTCTCAGAGAACTGCATCGCCACAACACTACATACATTCTGATTGGTTAATAACAGACTTGACCTATAAGTCAAAGGACGCTGTTGCAAGTCAAATTGTGCAAGAAAACATCATGGGGGAAACTGCTTGCATTGAGCTTTTACAACAAAGATACTGATAAAGATCTTGAATTGATTGTTTTCCCACATACATGTACTCTAGTAATTTTTACATCATAAATGTTGATACATAATCAATTTTGTAATAAATGCATGTATTTTTTGTCACCGTTTCTGTTCCATAGAAGTCGCAGCTTTTAAAAATGATTTTATGGTACCTATACCCACCCAGCTATCAATAATTTATCTTCCACTAAACAATTACTACTCTTCAAATCTGTTTAAAACCAAACTTGGTTACATCTGAAAACTGTTTTAACAACACAACATTGTCCAGTCTATTGTCAAGGCCCGAGTGCAAACCAAACATTTTCCGTTTTTGGTCGTTTTAATATACCTTTATCTTCATTTCTCTGTTGCCACGGCATCATTTTTTTCTTTTTCTTCGTCTTTGTAATATCTTCATTTGGAGTGCTAGGAAGTGGTTTGGATCCTGGAACCATCATCGTGGAAGCTGTACTGGTAATGCGTAGCGGAGGAGCGGGGGGACTGTCTTCATGTATCTCATCCGCCATATAGATAGATTATAACCTACTGAAAATACTTCTGTGAGGCTGAAAGAAAACACATTGAATTATAATTAGAATACTAGTAGATACAACTGTACAATAACTGAACTAAGCAATGGGTATGGCCAATTATAAGCTATCAAATTGCAAGTTGAGACCTGCAGGTGAATTTTGAAGCAGTAATTGATAACATCGTATTAGCTGAAAGTGAAAATGATGATTTTTTTTCCATTTCCTCAAAACTATTTGTGTCCACCAATAGCATCTTGTTTTAGTGTCTAATGTCGCCAAGTTTCTGTTTTTAACAGTTAAAAAAATAAACAATATCCAAAATCAAATTAATCTTTTTGTGCATACTTTTCTCTACCATTCATGATTCAAATTAGTTGAGGAAATTCCCAAATGATTTAAGATTTGCTACATAATACAAAAAAAAAAAAAAAAAAAAGCTGAAAAGAAACAAACACGTTGCAATATTGCAATATTGAACAAACCTGTTTTTCAAAGAAAGAGGCGCTTGAGGTCAGCCTGAATGACTGCATGAAAAATCAAATCCAATTTTAACTTTATTTTAATACTCAATAAACAAAGAAATTGGGCAGGACTTAGGCATGCTACAAGTGCAACACACTTATTACACTGTAACAGAGTTCAATTTATGTACTAAAAGTGGGTCAGCATGACTAATAACAATATATTTGATCAGACGATGATATATTATAATGCAATGTACAGTAATAAAACCACATGTACTAAGATCATATACATCAACTTTCAAATAAATCATTGTTATTACACATGACACTGTGTTCAGTAATAAATTTGATTTATGCATCTAATACATAGCAGTCCATTGCAGGTTTATACATACATATTTCATTTCAGCAACCTGCTAGCCCAACATAGTTGAGTGTAACCATTATAGATACAGTACTCATTCCGCCCAACCTCCCGCTTTTATCGCTTTTTTTCCGACCGCTTATCGCTTAATTTCCGACCGCTCGCTGCTTTTCGACCGGAAACCGACCGCTTTTTTTTCGCTCGCTCGCGTTCGCTTTTGTTCGCTCGCTCGCTCGCTTTTGTTCGCTCGCTCGCTCCTGCTATGGCTGGCTTCAGAAACACCGTCCGCTTGCCAACCGAACGCTGGAGTAACAATGACGATTCAAAACACAACGCCTATTGCTTCTCTGTTTTGGAACAAAGACGCCTTCAAATCACTTGACACATTGTAACGTTTGCTAAGCAAGTCAAACTGTGACCTGTATTTACCTATTTAAGTCCTTGTGTGTGTAGTTCAAGCAGCTATATAACTGGTCAATCGCGATATGTATTGAGTACTAGTATTTGTGTGTTGTGTTTGTGTTTCTGTGTGTGATTTTGACTAAA